GCTTTGTTGAACTAGCTGTGGCAGTAACCCTGCCGGGGTGTCGCGGCGCGGACCCCGGGAACGGTGGTCCTGGGGACTGTGTGTGCGCTTGGCGCGCGACCCGATTTGAACATGCCTTCTTAGTTGGAGTCTCCTCCATGCAGGCCCATTTCTCCTTCCAGAACCACTGCTTGTGGATCACTTTAATTCTTATCCTAAAGAAGAGAATGTCTACCGCTCACCCCAGCCCTGTTTCTAAGCCACTGCCCGGTTCTATTCCCTCGTAGCAAAGTAAATTTTAACAACTGCATCCGCAGTAAAGCCTGTTGATCGCACGTGGCTTGTCAAAATTTGGATCTCTGGTCTCATGGAACTAACTGTGTTGTCAGCCAAACTGTGCAGGGGTCGTGGTTCCGCTGAATTGCATTGCAATGAGAAGATTCAATGCGCATCCCTGGCTGTGGAGATAGACTTGCAGGTTCCAAAGCTGGCAGGGGCTGGGAGTGCTGCATAGGTAGGTCCTTGGGAAAGGGCATGACAAGAATTCGGAGATTCCAGGCAGAAGGAACCCCACTGAAATAAGAAGAATTCACCTGCGCCATCCTGGAAGTAGCAATAAAATTTCAGAAACTGCAAACAGCTGGACGTGGTTCTTTGCCTGCACAGACTGGCAATCTTGAGTTCCTGAAAGCAGCCTTGGAGGAAACTCCCGCCTGGAGGAGACCTTCCTTGCCCAGCTTACTGGGTGGATTTTCCTTATTCTTTTTTAATTTTGTCTATTCTGGGATGATGATGCTCTTTAGTGATTCATGGAACTGAGATTACCTCCAGAAAACCTTTTTCTGAAACTTTTTTTTAATAGTTACAGTTTGAATTTCCAAAATAACAAAATACTACCTCTGAATATTTTAAGTTTTTTTTTTTCATAATTACTTGGGTTATCCGAAAAGCCTTTGCTTGAAGGTTGACGCGAAGTTGCTTCTTTTTCATATTCTGAAGAAAAGCCTCAGAAGAACCAATTCACAATTTTCAAATTTCCTAAGTATTCACTTTTTATAATGGCATAAACTGTATTAGATTGTGAACTTTTATTTTTACTGTGCTGTCATTTCTCTGCACGATAGGACAACCACTAGCTTTAAAATTATCCTGCCTCCTGAAATTGACAGCATCGAATTTTGTAAACTCCAAAATTATGGAATTCAAGAGAATGGGTTTTAGCACCTGTTTTATGTTTGCTAACGTTTATTGTAGCTGTTTTCTGATGTGAAAATCAAGCCTAAACTTTTTTCATCTTCATTAACCCTCCTAGTTTGCTTCTTACTCCTGAACCCTCAATTTATCTTGGCTAATATTTGAGACTGGGCAGGAATACCAGGGGTTCATCTAATCTTGTATAAATGTTGCCTGAACTCTGCTTTCTTTCACACTGCTGCTTGAGGTATTTTTCCCCTGGTACTGTTCTTCTCTAATGAGTCAGCCACCACAACCCTGAGCCACAATTCAGGGCCCATCAGTTTACACAGCCTGTGGATAGTCCGTGGTATTTTTCACGTTCTGGACTGCCTCACATATTGGTAAACATATTGGTAAATGGACTTGTGTTCAGGGCTCACTTATTTTCCCTATGAGCATTTGGTCTTATAAACCTGTTAATGTTCTTCAGTATTTTTGAGAAAGTTCCAGTAGTGGCAAGCCTAACCCTAATACATAAAGCCAGGATGTCTGTGCTGACCTGCCTTCAGGAGCATTTCCTAGTTTTATGTTCCCTTCCCCACCTCTTTAAAATCCAGTTTTTTACAGTAGTCAGAAAATAACTTTCTCATTTATAATAAGAAGTCCTGCCCCCCCCATAAGACATTGCTTAATTCTATTTCATATTAGTTTTAATGCTCTCAAGGGGAAAGCCTGTTCATGAGTGTCAGGCCTGCCTGTGCTTCCATTAAAAGTTTATCAGTGTGGGCCAGGCACTGATGGCTGTATTATAAGGTTAAATAAGAGTGTTGTTGGTTTGTGGGTGGGGAGCATTATTTCTCAGGAATTTTATGCCAAAATGTATCTGGTGTGAAAAGCCTGAAACTACAATTAAAGCTATTCTACTTGGAATCAGCCTGTGAAAGCCAAAGTTGATCAGTATGGCTTTCTAAATAAGCTCATCATTTTTTACTAGTGAAAAGGTTGCCATTGTTCATTTGTTTGAGACAGGGTCTCCCTAAATAGCCCTGGCTGCCCTGGAACTCACTATGTTGACCAGGCTAGCCACAAATGCAGAGATCCACTTGCCTCTCCCTTCTTGAGTGCTGGAATTAAAATCATGCATGACCTGGTGAAAATATCATTCCCAGTGATCCACCTTCACTCCCCTTTAAGTCAGCACCACTGGGTAGGAAGTGAAGAACAGTTTCTAATTAAGAAATATAGTAATTTAAGGCTGAAACAGGAAAAACTGATGACATGATACATACATACATACATACACACACACACACACACACACACACACACACACACACACACACACACACACACACATCCTAACATTCTACATGAGGTCTCTCCCTACATCCTCACCCTTTATTGCATGAGAAGGCCCTTTGAGCAAGTTGTGTGCCAGCTCTCTTTAAATAATCCACTTCATGTTGTTTATTTACTTCACTCTGGCTTCCCTTACCTGAAGCAAATTCATTCTTCATTTTGTGTTTTGTATTTATTAGACTTAGAAACCTTGGCATTGCTTTTTTTTGTGTTTTCAGCTTTGGCCTACCTGTGCACTATATTTATGTGGCTTTTAAACAACAACAAAAAAGTCTTTTTTGTTGTTGTTTTTGAGATGGTGTTCTCACTTTGGAGCCCTGGTTGTCCTGGGTCATGTAGACCAGACTGGCCTGGAATTTACAGAGAACAACCAAACTTTGCCTCCAGAGTGCTGGGATTAAAGGCATTCACCACCATGCCTCACTAAAAATTTTGAACTGTTAAATTTTTAAATTTTAAATTTTAAAACTTTCCCCTGTTAACCCAGGGGCCCCCCACCCCCAAATATATTTCATTTTCTCCATACCTATCTGCAGGACTTAGAAATGTGTAATCTTAAATAATGAGTAATTCTAAGCATTTGACTAACTAAATGAAAACATTTTCAAAATAGTTATTTTAAATATTCTGCAAAGAAGTGAGTTCTGAGCCAACCATAGCTACATAGTGAAATCCTGTCTCAAACAAACAAACAAAAGAAGAAGAAAAATTCTTCAAAGACTTTCTGTCCTTAGGGTAATTTAAGAATTTTACTTTACAGTGCAGTATGTAACTCTGTCACCTTCAAAGTCACTATGGACACCTGAACTTGAATGCCCCAAAATGCTTTATAGCAGTGATTTTCAACCTTCCTAATGCTTTGACAGTTCCTCATGTGGTAGTAAAATAACTTTATAACTATAAAATTAGTTTTGTTGCTACTTCATAACTAATTTTGCTACTGAAATGAATCCTAATGTAAATGGTTGTGTTTTCCGATGGTCTTATATGACCCTTGTAAAAGTTGTGTGACCCTCAAAGGGGTCACAACCCATAGGTTAAGGATCCCAGCACTCAGGAGACAGAGGCAGGCAGATCTCTGAGTTCTCGCCCAGCCTGGTCTATAAAGCAAGTTCTAGGACAGCCAGGACCGTTACACAGAAAAGCCCCGTCTACACAAACAAAACAAAAAAAGAAAGTAAAGAAAGGAAGAAGGAAGGGAAGGAAGGAAGGAAGAAAGAAAGAAAGAAAGAAAGAAAGAAAGAAAGAAAGAAAGAAAGAAAGAAAGAAAAAAAGAAAGAAAACCCAACAAAGAACCACTACTTTGGTTCTACAATACTTAGAACTATATAACATGACACCTGCCTTTAATCCCAGCGCTCAGGAGGCAAAGGCAGGTGGATCTCTATAAATTCCAGACCTGTCTGGTCTATATAGTGAGTTCTAGGCCAGCCAGGGCTACACAGGGAGACCCTGTGTCAAAAAACAAAACCCAGTACTTAGAACTTTTAAATTATATTACTTATAAATTAGTGAAAAATCTTAACATAATTTCATCATCAGTGGATAAATGGCATTTCTTTTAAAAAGGCTTGTTAGTGTTGGAAGTTTTCATATAGCCAACAAATTTGAGAAGTATGCCCATGTCCATTTTAGTGAGCTTGAACAAGTTCATAAAGCCCAGCAGAATGCAAGGCTTTAAAATTATTAATATCTGTATAGGTACTGTTTAAGTTATGACACAGCAAATTCTATTGGCTCACCAGTCTCTTCAGTAGGATTTTGTGGTCTTCCGGTATTTGGTGTACTCTGTCCTCCTCTGCATCTGGCTTTATCTGTGTATCCTGTGACCATGGTTGAACCCATGCCTCTGACTTAACGTCAGTTTCTACCCTGTCTCAGTGTCATTAGTCCTGTTGGCATTCCAGAAATTCTCATTAATTTTGGAAGTTTTTTTAAATCTAAGAAGTGTTTTCTATAATTCTTCAAGTGTCAACTTTTAATACATGAATTAAATCCAGTTAAGCTTAGCAGTCTCCCTGCAAGGTCAACTCCAGTATATGCACGGACTGAGGAGGTGACAAGATACTCCTGTGTTCCTTCCAGTCAGCCCTTGGATTACTTGGAATTTCCACCTGGAAGGTTGCTTCTCCACAGTGATTTCACATTACAGGAAGGTTTTCCTTCTTTGTTTCTCAGACCTGGTCCTGTAGACGGGAAGGAGCCTGGACACAGTGACCCAACACATTCACAAAGGCCCTGCAGGACCACCATGGCTTATGATGACTCCATGAAGAAAGAAGGTATGACCCCTTACTCAGAAGCATCCCAAAGGGCATAACCTCTGCAGTCCCTGGATGTAGAGACCAAGACTGGGTACCACAGCCTAGACCAAGTGATGCTCCATCATTCCCAGACTGGGCCCATGGAAATGAAAACCAGGACAGGGGTTCCTACACCAGAGTCTGAAATAAGAATCTTTTAGTTTATTGGGGTGATCCCCACAGCACTCTTAGTCCTTGCCAGCTCCAGTGTGCATGAGTCTGGGACTAGGAACCTCTCTCACATTGGACTCCCACAGCACAGCACATGAATTCTTACACTTTCCAGCCTTCCCTCGCAAGTCTGTGTCTACCTGCTAAATCACTCACTACTAAGAAACCATATCTGAGGATGCACATTGGGCATTTGCATAGCATGGAAGCATTGTGTTTTCGGGTTTGAGTCTTGTGTTTGAAGCCGGGTCATCAGAAGTCGTCTTGGCCCTCTGAGTTTAGCCCTGCATTTCAGAGGACTCACTGAGTGTAACTTTAACTTGGAAATGGGACTGTTGTGTTTACTTGTTGCTTATGTACTTTAGTCATTTCCATCCCTAAATGAATTTGTGCTTCCCAGATTGCTTTGATGGTGATCACAGCTTTGAAGACATAGGACTTGCAGCTGGTCGAAGCCAACGAGAAAAGAAGCGGTCTTACAAAGATTTCTTAAGGGAAGAGGAAGAAGTTGCTGCACAGGTCAGGAGTTCCTCCAAGAAGAAGTCAAAGGTCAGTTCCAGATGTCTTTCAAAGCCAGGATCCCAGGAGAGCAGCCCCAAACCGTTACCTCATCATCTTATTGCTGGCCAATTCTCCCTCTCTAACCACAGGACAGTGAGTTGTTCTTCCTGGGGACGGACACACACAAGAAGAAGAGGAAGCACTGCCCTGATGATTACTGTTATGGAGGTGAGAATGGGAGCGGGCTGCAGGTGGGATGTGCACATCTCTGGTTCTTGGAGTCGGGGTATGGGAAGGGATCCCAGATATTGCTGACTCAGTGGCCTATTTAACAGGACAGTGGTTCTTGTTCTGAGTGCCGATAAACCAGTGTGAAGGAGGAGAGAGGTGGAGGGCTGGTATTTTGGAGGATTCAGCATAGAAGAACAGTCTTCATTTGTGATACACAAGGTACCAGGTTCCTTCCTCCCTGAATCATCCACTTATCTGTGCCATTGTTACTTAGCATCCCTTTGCCAGATGCAGTCCTTGGGCCCTCTGCATATCTGTGGGGCATTTCTCAGCCAGCATATATCCACTCACAAAACCTGTTTTCTTAGCTATGCTCTACATGTAGCTGAGGAGACTAACCTCTCACTAGAATGAGTTTGTCCTCAGCACAAGAACCAATGACCCTCCATCTGCAATCTAATCTAGATTGCAATTACCCTTAATCCCACAGCTCTATTCCAAGTATGCTCTCTCTGTCTCTTGTGAAGACCTAAGGAAGAGAATGAGCTTTAGTGGCAAGAATGGTCTCGAGAGCCAAAGGCTGAGTTTACAAAGCCAAGAAGTGCACGGGGGTTCTGAATGTTAGGAACCAAGGTTCTCCTTTCAGAGTCGTTCCTGTTAGCCTTTTCCTCATGCCAGTGGGTGTGCTTTGTTAAGAGAGAACACTTGCTAGGAGTTATTTCCTGTCCTGTTGACGGTACTTCTCTTGATTATTCCTAGACATTTCGTCTTTGGAATCATCACAGAAGAAAAAGAAAAAATCTAGCCCGCAGTCTGCCGACACAGCAATGGACCTGTTGAAAGCTATCACCTCCCCACTGGCAGCAGGTGCCAAGTCCTCCAAGAAGGCAGGGGAGAAATCCTCCAGTTCTTCAAGCCATTTGGAGAGCAGAAAGGAACACCATAAGAAGAAGGGCAACGGAAGCAGTGGAGAACTCTCCCTGGAGGACAGCAGTGCGCACAAACCCAAAAAAATGAAGCCACTCTATGTGAACACAGAGACACTGACTCTTCGTGAGCCTGATGGCTTAAAGATGAAACTTATTCTCTCACCAAAGGAGAAGGGAGGCAGCTCAGTGGAGGAGGAGGCTTTTCAGTATCCTGCCCAACAAGCTTCTCTGAAAAAGTCCTCCAAGAAATTGGCTCGGGATGAGCAAGGTGCTTTACTCTTAGGGCAGGAGCTACAGAGCCTCCTGAAAACAGCCAGGAAGAAGCACAAGTCATCCTCAGACTCACACTCCTCTCCTGGCCCTGAAGGCTGTGGGGCTGATGCCTCCCAGCTTCCAGAACCCCACAGTGCTAACCTCGACGTTACAGGACTTGACCCCATTCTAGTAGAGTCAGAGTCATCCTCTGGTGGGGAACTGGAAGCTGGTGAGCTGGTAATAGATGATTCTTACCGAGAAATCAAGAAGAAGAAGAAGTCGAAGAAGAGCAAGAAGAAGAAGGACAAGGATAGACACAAGGAGAAGCGGCACTCCCGGACCAAGAGAAGCTCAGGGCTGGCGGCAGGCGCTGCCCGAGAGCATGGTACTGCTCGGGAGCATTCGATGACACCCAGCCCTGCCCCCAGTATCCCCACCGTGCCACTTCCTGCTCTCCACACAGATGGACATGGAGAGAAAAAAAAGAAAAAAGAAGAGAAAGACAGAGAGCGAGAGAGGGGAGAAAAGGTAAGAAGGGGTCTTCATGAAACAGCTTCTTCCTGAGAGGGAAATAGCCTTAAGCCAAGCCACCATTGAGCTCATTGGATGATACAAAGAGTAAACTATTACCAGTGGCCAGATTTGTCTGGGGCAAACGTGACAGCAGTGTAGTTATTCCTGGCTTGTCTTAATAGAGCTGTTCTCCCAGCCTGTTGATGAAACACCATCATTCTTAAAAGTCGTAAAAGCAGCTATACCCTATTTCTTTCCCTTAGCAGCCACTATCTGCCAGGGCAGTTGAAAATGTGAAGAGGTACCCATTGGGTCATCTTGGAGGAGATCTTCTAAACTATAGTGGGTAACTGATGATGTTAATAAAAGGAGCTCACAACTTTGTAGTGACTGGTGTGGGTTAGTGGAAAGAGCACTCCTTTATACTTTTTTGTCCCATCCTCTCCCTGAGTGCTTACTCTGTTGGGGTGCAAAGACCAACAGGATACAGCCTTTATTTCATGTGTGTGTGTCTGAGTGTGTGTATGTGCACTATGTGCATGCAGGAACCCTCAGAGGTCAGAGTAAAGGGCCTCAGTCCTTTAGAACTGAAATGATCCATGGTTGTAAGCTGCCATGTGGGTCCTGGGAACTAAACCCGTGTCCTCTGTTAGAGCAGCCTGTGTCCTTAATGGCTGAGCATCATCACTCCAGGGCAGGACACAGTTGTTGACCTTGGGGAGCTCCCTGTCCACTAGAGAGATTGAAGTGAGAAACCAGAGGTATTTTAGGAACTGGTAAAGACTGTTTGACCCTGTTATCAAATTAATAACTATTTTTATTAGGAATTTAGAAACTCAGCTGGGTGTAGCAGCCCATTCAGGTAACTCCAACACTCAGGAGGCTGAGGCAGGAGTGCAGGAGACCAGCTTTGAGGGGGGACTCAGGTCCCAAAGATGATGTGTCAAGAAGGGAAGGACATGGTCTGAGAGTGAATCCAGATGGCTGCCAGCACATTCATTGAATAAAGAATACACCTTTTAAACTCTATAGTTATATAGGATTAAATGGGAGAAAGGAGGCTTGTGAGCTGGGGTGTGGCTTGAGATCAGGGGCTGAGAAAGCTAGCATTGACCTTGACAATAGGCACCAGTCAAATGTTAAAGGAAGAGTCACAAGTTCCTCTTGCTAGAGATAAGGATTTGTCTGTCTCTTTAGCAAGCAGGAACCTTCTTCAAATACCTGAGGAAATGGGGACTTGTCTAAATGCCTGACCTTGGGAAATCAGGCATTTCATTATAGAATATTACAGTTTTTTTGTATGTCTTAGTTTACCCAAATAGCTAAGCTTAAAGAGAGCAAAGACAAAGCTAGATAAACATTACTGTGAGCCTGAATAGACCTTAGGAATTTATAAGTCTTAATTATCAAATATACCTTACTTATCAAGCATATGTTATTACTCATTTAAATTTTTTAGCAGCTTGGTGTTAACTTGTATGTGAGTAGGCAGAGTTATGCTATATGGTTTCATAGTGGTGGGGATTGTAGACATTCTTATCCTTCTCCAAAGCCTGCACAAAATTTCCTGAAGAGAAAGGCATAAGGAAACTGTTAACACATATCAAGAATCATTTAAAGTGAAAGTTAAAGAGTGCTGGAGCCAGGCATTGGTGGCATACACCTTTAATCCCAGCACTCGGGAGGCAGAAGCAGGTGGATCTCTGTGAGTTCAAGGCCAGCTTAGTCTATAGAGCGAGTTCCAGGACAGGCTCCAAAGCCACAGAGAAACCCTGTCTCGAAAAAAAAACAAAACAAAACAAAAAAAGGAGTGCTGGAGAATTGTAGTCTGAAAAGTTGAAATGCTGGAACTTTGTCAAGCAGCAATGGCCATTCATGTTCTGATGGAAGCTCCACCTCTGTCCCTGTCCTCCAAATACCCAAAGAGTCTGAGATGTTCTGGTTGAAGTTCCACACCAACCCTCCCTCCCCCATCTCTAGTCCCAAACCCCACCCCCCTGGAAAAGCCAGCCAAGGATCAGCTCCTCCCCTAGGGGCTGCTCAAGGCCACGCCCATAGGCTACTTAAGACCTGGTAGCCATATTTGCTACATGATTCCTCTCCTGCGCTCCTGAGGGTCACCCAGGAGTGCTATGCTCTGCTCATTAAACCTGGATTTAATAATTCAGTTTGATTGGCTTACTACATCAGCAGTGGTGGATTTCCAATAACCAGGCATTTAAAACTCAATTCAGTCCACTCCTCAGGAGGAGGGAAAGTTCAAAGCCAGTGTGGGCAAGATCAAAAAAAAAATCCACAAAAAAGGAAAAATATATTTATAAGCACAGAAATAAAACAAGGAAGTCTTATTATGAATGGATTCCATGAATGAATTACTAACTAGAGCCCTAAAGGGAATTTTTTTATTAATAATAGAAAGTACAAATAATTTTATCTAAAACAGCTATTCTATTCTAATCCAAAAGAAAAGCTACTAAGAAAAGGATAGCCTATTTTTAGAATATATTTAGAATTTGGGTGCCACATGGTGGTATATGCCTGGAACCCTAGAATATGGGAGACTGGGGTGGAATTACAATTTCATGCCCAGCCTGGGCTACATAATAGAACTCTTTCCCAAAAGGAAAAAGAAAAAGAAGGAAAGAAAAACTGCCGGGCTAGTGTCACATACCTTTAATACCAGCATTCTGGAGTCAGAGGCAGATGGGTATCTATCTGTGAGTTTGAGGCCAGCCTGGTCTGCACAGGACAGCCAGGGCTACACAGAAAAACCCTGTCTGGAAAAACCAAAGTGGGGACTGAGGGGAGAAAAACCGAAAAGTCAGATGTGGTAGCAGGCACTTGAGAAGAGTCTGGGAGAATCAAGTTCAAAGTCAGCTTGTATTACATAGCAAAACTCAAAATTTAAAATAAAATAAAGTGAAAATAATTTGGCGATGAAAATTGTATGTCCATCTATAAAGGGCAGTTTGCAAGTTCTTTTCTCCACTATACAGTGTGCTTTTTTTATTATTATTATTTAATAGTTCAAATTAGGAACAAGTTTGTTTCACATATCAATCCCTTCTCCCTCAACCCTCCT